CGCCTGTGTGATGGTTTTGTTTGAATTCTAAGTTGATTGGTGTCTGTGACGCCACCGAGGCAGGAAAGCCGAGGTTGGTGCTGGCTGGTGCTCCCAGGAGGGCAGGGCAGTGAGTGGGCAAGAGAACATGCCCCCGCCCCCAGCCGGCCCAGCCCACGGGCCCGCGGTGGCCATCATCGCCGCCACCTCCCACAGCAGGAGACTTGCAGCGCTTGTTGGGGGGCAGCTGTGCCTTTTGCTCCCTTGGCTTCACCCAGGCGGGCTATTTTCTGATAGAGCCGGAGCAGGGGTCGCTGACCCACGCGCCACACCCTCCACGTGAACATCGGCATCTCCGGCCATGGCAGAGGGAGCGCGTGTCCGTCCCCACAGCTCTCCCACTTCCTGCTTCTTCATCGTCTGCCCAGCAGGGACTCAGGCCATGTGTGACGTAATTCAAATAAAAGTCTTCCCTTTGCAGTGGGGGCTGGGCCTTGAGTTGATTTGAAGGGCCTGAGTGCATCCATGTGTTTATGGCGCAAATACTGAGGAGCCGCTCAAACCCACCATTGCACACGCGGCTCCGAGCCTGCAGCGGGCACAGAAGCCACAGGCCTGGGAGAGAGCAGGTCGGGGAAGCACAGCCAGACCCCACGGGCCTGGGCGCGCTGGGCAGACACACGCAGAAAACGGTGCTGCGAAGAGGCCGGAAACCTGGAGGGTTGAAACCCGTAAACGCTGGCTCCCCTGGCCTGACCCACCGCCATATTCTCTGTAAGGTCGAGGACCTGGCCCCAAGCAGTTGCCCGGCCTGCCCTCCACCGACCAGTTTCCCATGGGCTCCTGGCTAAGGTGAAGTCCTAAAACCCTGACAACAAACGGGGAGATTGAGGTTGGCACAGCAATGAATCTCCTGGTGAGTGGAGCTTAAGGCAAGCCCCGGGCTACACCAGCCTTTCCGTGGACATGGTTACAAAGTACACTGAGGCGTCTTTCCAGCTGGGAGCTATCGAGCGATGTCCTGCAATCTCTAGTGGCAAAGGGTCAATAGGACCACAGAGGCCGTCCTGAGCGGCTGCCCTCACTAGGGGTGGATGGGACAAGCAATGGGAGGAGTGTTCGCTGGCCTCCAGAACGTTCTTCGAATTCACCTGCGAATATTCTCCTGTGCATTTATTTTCTTCTTCCTCTTAAATGTACTTTTCCCCCTAAAACAAAATCCCAGTGTTGGAGGGCCCTGAGCCACTGGATTAATCACCAGCAGCCCCAGTCCCTCCTGCCGACCTTAGCACAGAGCTCCGTGGTGTTTTCGGGCATGTGACCTCTAGGCTGTCAAGCCAAGTTCACGGGCACCGGAGCCAGTTTCTCAGATCAGCCTGAGGACGTATCGGGTATCTCGTCACTACGGGAGAGGGAAGTGGCCCACAGAGCCTTCCTCAGTGCGGCGGGGCCTTTCCACAGGAGTTGGGAACCCCCCCGCCCGCACGTGCTTCTGCTGTGGCCCCGACGTCCAGGGCCCAGATGAGCCGTCTCTGGTCCCGTGGCTCTGGCCATGCCGCTCACCTGTGTGCCTGTGTGTTTCCAGGGAATACTACATCACCATGGTGAAGTGGGCCACCAATACCAAGGTCGCCGTGAACTGGCTGAGCCGGGCGCAGAACGTGTCCATCCTCACCCTGTGTGACGCCACTACAGGCGTCTGCACCAAGGTACGGGCAGGGAGCACCCAGGCCTCGGCAAGGCCACCCTTGAGCCCTTTGGGCTTGGTAGCTGCAGGCAAACCGCTCAGCCGCTTGCTGGTCAAGGTGGCAGCCTGCATCCAAGTCTCTGCATTGGTGCCACCTGGTGGGTGGCTGCAGTACTGCCGAACACCCGGGGCTTGCTCTTTCAGTGCCTCCCCAGCTTTGTGCACTTTTTTTGGCCTTGAATTTTCATTTCCCAACTGCAGAGGAAAAGGCTTGCAAAGCCACTCTGTTGGGGCTCAGGAGCCGCCACATAGCAGCTCTCGCTGAACTGCCTCAGTGAGGCGCGGTGGTCTGTACTGAGACCAAGGGGTTCGCACATCACTTAGCGCAGATCCAGGTTATTCTGAGGGCTCGCTCAAGGTGAAGGAGGAAGGATGGACACCAGCTAGGAAGCTGGGAATTGCTCCTAATTCTTACCTATGCCCCTGCGAGTGTCCGCCACTGAAACGCCATGGCCAACAACAGCCCTGGGCGCCTGGAGGCGGACCAACCCCCGGGCCAGCTCACGGTTGGGATGTGTTTGATCTTCTATTAGGCTTACTCCACGCATTTCGGTAAGCCTACTTCTCATTTCCTTTCTAAACCCCCTTAACGTATCCGAACAAGGATTGTTACTCAGAGTTGGTAAGTCCACATATGCACGTACGGTGCACACACAAGTTCCTAAAACAAACAGCACTTGCGTTTGCTTTTACATGGGCACGTGCCAGGTTAGGGGTGACCATCTAATGGGGACCTGCCAGGTGAGGGGTGACCATCTAATAGGGACCTGCCTGGTCAGGGGTGAGCATCAAGTGGTAAAAGTGCCCCATCTTCCAAAGGATTCCACCTGCATGGAGTTGTCCTTGGAGCTGGGAGAGTGACATTTCTTGTTTGGGGACACTTGGTTTTGGCTCTGAGCCACACTATAAGACCGCCTCATCCTGAGCGGTAGCCTGGTCCTGAACCGTGACCTGGTCCCAAGCCATGGCCTGGTCCTGATGGTGGACTGGTCCCAAGCCATGGCCTGGTCCTGAGCTGTGGTCTTGTCCTGAGCCATGGCCTGGTCCCAAGCCATGGCCTGATCCTGAGCGGTGGCCTAGTCCTGAGCCGTGGCCTAGTCCTGAGCCGTGGCCTGGTCCCAAGATGTGGCCTGATCCTGAGCCGTGGCCTAGTCCTGAGCCATGGCCTAGTTCTGAGCCATGGCCTGGTCCCAATGGTGGCCTGGTCCCGATGGTGGCCTGGTCCCAAGCCGTGGCCTGGTCCCGAGCTGTGGCCTGGTCCCGAGCCGGGGCCTGGTTCTTAGCCGTGGCTTGGTTCTGATGGTGGCCTGGTCCCAAGCCGTGGCCTGATCCTGAGCTGTGGCCTAGTCCTGAGCCGTGGCCTAGTCCTGAACATTGGCCTGGTCCCGATGGTGGCCTGGTCCCGAGCTGTGGCCTGGTCCCGAGCGGCCCCAGCGCTGTCTGTGCTGATGCAGCCATGGCGCACGGGAAGCAAACTGCTTCACTCTGTGGGTCACGGACATGGTGGCCCCAAGACCTTTCTCTAATGCTCTTATTTCATTTCAGAAACACGAGGATGAAAGTGAAGCCTGGCTCCACAGACAGGTAACTATTCCATGAGTGAGTTCCCACACTGGGGGCGTTTGCATCTCACAATGACCCCAGGGGAGCCCCAAGCAGACACTAGACGTGCGTGGCCCTGGTGAGCGTGCCACCTGCCGCCCTGCTCCCTCCATGGCCCTCGCACTCCTGGAAGGCGGGTTCTGAGGAGGATGCTTGAGAGTCGCTGCTCTTGACAGCCTACAACGTGTGGTGAGACCTCAGGTCTCCGGTACATGATGCCCTGCAGGTGAAGGAAAAATGGTGAGTTTCCCAGAAGGAAAGGAAACATGGGCAATAGTTCTGTTCTCTCCACGTGGTCTCGTGGGGTCTCATTTGCAGCGGATGCCGGCAGGGTTCAGCATGAGCCTCCCAGGGACGAGACGTCATCCCCACTCCCAGCTTCCCCGTCTCTGACCCAGATAAGAAGTGCCCTCAGACAGGCTCTTGAAATTGGAGATCACAGGAGGTCAGGGAGGCCTACAGTTACTCACTCCATGACCAAAAATATCCTATATAATAAAAGGCTAATATGCAAATCAACCGAACAGCATAACGACCAATCGCTATGATGTGCACTGACCACCAGGGGGCAGATGCTTAAAGCTGCCCCCTGGTGGTCAGTACACTCCCACAGGGGGAGCGCTGCTCAGCCAGAAGCCGGGCTCACCGCTAGCAAGTGCAGCGGGGGTGGCAGGAGCCTCTCCCACCTCCGTGGCAGCACTAAGGATGTCTGACTGATGGCTTGGGCCTGCTCCCCTTAGATGTTGTCAGTCAGACATCCCCCA